TACTTCGGCTGCATAGTAGACTTACTATGTCTAGAGGGTAGCTCTGCCTGCTGGAGGGTTAAGGGCTCTCCAGGGGCCGTGTGGTTTAGCGTAGAGTGTAGAGGGATTTGCTTCAACAAGGGAAGCCTATGCAGATTTACAAAGCGCTTAGGGTTCAAATATTCATTCTTCTTCCACTTACATAAAAGCTCTGTCCAAAATTGGCAGCTGCAGACTTCCAAGCCTTATGCATGAAGACGACCGTATCTGCCCCAAAGCCGAAGCCTCCTTCACTACTACCGTTATTCTTTCTGTTACTTGTATTCCGCATGCTATCGATATGCTAGTACAATGTTACTGCTGGATCTTCACTGCTAAGCCCCTCAGCCCTAAACCCTATATACTTGAGATCCCAAACCCTAAGCCATCTCGACCTTACACTTGTCTCGAAGGGTCGGCTGGAAGGAACCGTCAACCTTGGAGGACCACAATCTTTCGGGTATGATGCGGGTCCAGAAGAAACTTTCATGTGTGGAGCCGTAACTGAACAATCTCCCATTCAGGGTCTGGGGTTGAGGGTTTTCGCTGTCTTTTGAGTCTGAATATTTGTGCCCAGCCCACATAACCCCTTATATTCCTTGTACGCATACCCCAAACCCTAGACCCCAAGATCTATCAAGCTTGTCTTAGCTCCTGTTCTGATTTTTTGTCAGCTTCTCACATTTACCCCCATAGAATCTTCCATGGGGCCCAACATAACCCTTGTGTAATCCAAGGATATCCCAAGGCCCTCCCGCGTTTTCAACAGCCCCCTTAAAGCGCGCAGCTGAGAGTCCTAAACACCCTCAAACGCAGTCTACTATCGGCCCAATCCTACCGACAAATACGAGTTATCAGCATAAACCCTAAAACCAACGCCCCTAAGCTAAGCCCTAAACCCTTAACCCTTAGTTTCCTTCCAATCCCGGTAGGCTTCCAAAGCCCCAAGATCCTTGACCTTAGTCCATCTTTCGCAGCAACCTTGAATTTGGCATGGGCGCTTAGGTTATTGTAGAAGCCTAGATGCATATCATTATTCTGCTCGGTGAACAGTTGACCGTTTCAGTTGTCAGTTTGAGATGTTATGTAACGTGCGAGCAGGTAGACTTGTTGGGTTTACGGCTCAGGGTTCAGGTTTGGTTTAGGCCTCAACCGGAGTGCTCGTTGCAATGAGAGCAGTGCCAGCAGCACTTTGGACGGTCTTTCTAACAATTGAGCACAATTGATCCCCGAACTCAACCCATTGTAACTACAATAACCCCTGTATAGCCCTTGACGACACAATCCCTTATATCCCTATACAACCCCAACCCCTTATATCCTTAGATAACCACTATATAACAACCACCTGAACCCCTAGCCCAAGACACAAGGCCTTAACTGTCACCTGGTTAATGGTTTAGGGTTCCCTCAGCCTCAAACCCCTAAACCCTCATGTTTAGAACGTCAACCCGAAACCCAAACGGCAAGCCTAAAAGGAGTGTCTCAACATTCTTTGCCCCAGTGTCCTTTTCATTCTCCGTTTTCCTTTCAGGCCCCAAACTTCGGGTCTTTTTTGGGGGGGTTCGTCCTGGGGGATGAGCCTCACACCCCAAAAAATCTGAATTCCTTAGCCTGCAATACCAAGCTACCATATATCCCGGTTTAAAGCTAAGGTCGGGACATGCAGGATGTCTAGCATCAACAGTAAATTCTCGGAGGACCGGAAGCCTTATCCCGCCTGGACTTCGTGCATGCGGTGGCCCGCCACGTCGGCGCTTCGGAGGACACTGCGGCAGGTGCCCACGCTTGGGGGCGTTAGGTTGTAATTGGGCCTTGAGGTTCAACGGGTTTACCATGTAGCGTTTAAAGGTTTGTCTCATGTCCAAGTACTAAGGGCTTAGGATTTGAATGCAGTCTGACGTGTAGGGTTGGCTTACGGTTCCCAGGCTGCACGGTTCATCTGGCGTTCCAAAGTTCATTCTGGAGTTGTAAGTTGTAGGATTCACAGTCAGCAGTTTCAGGTCGTACGGTGGGATTTCTGGAAGCTGGGGTGGTCCGGTTGAGGTAAAGGACTGAGTATTGAAGGTGGTCCCATCGCATCTCGTCGCAAGCAAGACGCCCTAAAACGCCACGAGCAAGCCGCACCTGAAGCCGGAAGCTCAGAACCTTCTGCCCCCTGACTTCCAACACAGAAACCTCGAATATTGTGGTCCCAGATGGCTTCAGCACGGTATTGGTAATTAGCTAGCCCCCTTCATGACAGGAGGCAAAGTCATGCGCATCCTCTGAGTTTAGTCCAGGGCCTTCTGGCGAAGTCTGAAGCACATCCTTCATCTATTTGCATCCATGACATGCATGAAATATTGACTCCCTCTGCCTAATCAAAACTTCACCGCGCCTGGAAATTAGGCATGTGCACCTATGGATAAGGTCTCCCATATGGATTGTCTGACAGTAGCGGCTCTGCATTTAAGGACAGGGGAGGCGATTACCGTGGATTTCATGAGCGCTTCGTAGTACACCAACCTGTGTGGATGGTGGAGGAAGTCTTGCACCTCATGTGCCCTAATGACAGCTTCACATTAATACCCCCCAACCCCCCCCCCCGCCGCCGCGCCCCCTCGATTGATCTATCTCCGATTTATCGGAAGCCCCGGAATAATGATGCCAAAAAATGTAGGTTTGAACATTGATTTAGAGGCAATTACAATCCAATTAAAATCATTGCCCCGAAGGAAATATAGTTTTCAGGATTCTAGAATTGTGGGGCTTGTTGTAATTGTGTTCCGGCAGCGGGATTCTTTTAAAACAAATGGGGCGAAGTCCTTGATGTGAAGTCAACAATATATCCTAGAAGTGACTGCATTCTCGGGTTCCGAAGATCGTGTAGCTTTGAACTAAACCCTAAACCCTCAAGCCCAGAATAGACAGAAATTGTATAGGGCCCAAAAGCAAAATGCAGAATCCTCTCAAAACCCGCCCGAAAGTAGTTGGACATGAACCCTCTACAATTTCTATAAACCCTTTCATTTGCGGAAGGCTCCTCCTACTGCTTGCCAACGCCATCACCTGCAGATATATCAATGAACATCTCCAGGCTCGAAACCATGTGGCTTGGATTGGAGGATTGGGGTTTGGGACTTAGGGGGGATCCTTCAGGAGCCTAAGGGATCATTCAGGCATTCAGGCGCTCAATTTTTAGGGGTTTAGGGTTCGAGTTGATAGGACAAAACGAGTTATGTTCTATAGGCATTATATAGGGATTATATTCCGTCATTCCCGACTAAGAACCAGTAAGTGCAAAGTCCGATTGGGGATTCCTCATTTGGCACATGGCACGCCGCCGGTCGTGCGGGCGAGTGAAGGTTGAGAGATCCTAAGCCCTGGACCATAAGCCCCAACGGTTACACAGCGTACGGATCAGGGTTGCAGAAAATCAGATATTCCTCAAGGGCCAGGCCGTCATTCAGGGCTGATTTCCCCCGGCTGAATTCCAGCTCGAAAGCTGGTAATCCAACCTGCCACAAAGAAGTTCAGTAGCATAGCTTTATCTTATTGGGGCTCGTAGGGAATACGGAAATATAAATGTATTATTGATTTATCATTATCCTCCCTTATTCCCTAGGAAGCACCAGTAAGCAATTATCCGTTTGGGGTTCCTGAGCAATGGCAGAATACCTGACACGCCGACAGCTCTTCACCTCTTTTAAGGGTTTGCTTCGGGTTTAGGGTTTAGGATGTAGGAACTCAGATGAACCGCTTGAACTATTTCAGCAAGGAGCTTCTCGTTTGCTGTGTTGAGATGTTGCCACTACCATCCCTAAACTCTGAGTGCTAAACCTCAAGCCCTAGGCCCAGAGGCCTGAACCTTCCCGACGCTTAAAACGTCTCCTGTAACTCCAGATCCCAAACTTCCTCCCCGACCCAGACACCAACCCCCAAACTATGGAGCCCAACTGCCAAACCCCAAACCCTAATCCCAAACCCTAAGCCCCCAAGCCTAAACCCTAAGCCCTCCCTAAAGTCCCAGCCTGTCCACCTCTTCGAGGATGGGTCGGTCTCCCGTCTCTCTTGCTACAGCTCCTTGGAATTTCAGTGGTACCCTTTTGCCCTTTTTGGGTATTGGGTTCTTTAGTATATAATCCCCCTTAAGTAGATAGAATATGGCTTTGGGTATAGTATATTAAAAACCCCATATACCCCATAATCTATCTACTTAAGGGGGACTATAATCTAGCAACAGGGAAAAAGGGCACCCTTATTGTAATACGGCTGCTGGGATACTAAGGCTCTGGCTGCCATGAATGCAAAGCTCTGATCGACCATGGCATGCTAAAGCAAAAAGGTTGGAAGCAGGGCACAGGGCTGCGAGGCAGGGCTGTGAGGCCGTAGCAAGGGAAAATTAGGTTTAGCAAGCTAGTGGCTCCTGCCTTGTGGGGTTCCGATACCGCGGAGTCCCTTGTCCCAGGGTATAGGGGAAGCAAAGTGATAGGTGTTCCAAACAAGGCTATAGCCATGTCTATCCGAGTTAAAACTTCATACTGCTACACGTCAACCTCCATGTAGCCATCGACATGCTATGCAAACCGCAGCTGTGGTAATGGCAGGGCTAGTTCAGGTCCGCGTAATGCCTCTGCAAAATGCTGCCGATGTCTGTTGCTAGTTCGCTATCATTTTCGTTATCATCATCATCATCATCATCATCATCGCCCCTCCTGTCGCTGCTATTGCTAGGGTTCAGACGTTTTAAATGTACAGCTGGTGACACTGATCGAGCGTCCCATCCCGAACAAGACAAAGGCGGGGACGGTGGAGAGGAGAAGGAGCAGGAGGAGCAGGACGACGAGCCGTAAATCTGGAGCTGTGAACACTTCAAAAGGACCAAGACCTGAAACCCTAAACTCTGAACCCTGAATAGTAGTTTCCATTTTAATTTCCCTTATCCCAATACAACCCCAATGTATCCAAAAGTGAGCATAACCGAAAGGATTGGAGCTGAGGCTGCAGGTGGCCGTGGCAAGCTAAGCTCCGCTTCCATTCTCGAGGCGGCTGTGGGGTTGTGGTTTTGGGGTTCAGGGTCTAGGGATATAGGGGGATAAGGGAAAATTAAAAGGGAAATTACTATAATGGGTTGTATAGGGTTTAGAGTTTAGGGTTCAGGGTGATAGGGTTTTGGGCTTAGGGCTTCAGGTTTACGGTTTAGGGTTCAGGGTGTAGGGTATAGAGGGATATCTATACCATGTTTCTGGGGGTGATTTATAAGTTTGGTTCTGTCGGTTTAGAGGTGTAGGGCGTAGGGTTGAGGGTGTAGGATAGGGCGTAGGCTTTAAGTTTAGGGTCCAGGCGCGTTTAGAGTTTTGGTTTAGGGTTCAACACTACTTTTGCAGACTCCTTGACAGGAACCCGCAAAATGCTTTTGTCATCCTGACATATCCCTGTGGCTGGGAGAAATCCCATTTTCCTGCACTGAACTCATTTCACTACACTAAACTGGCATAAGGGTAGTCAGGGCCGCGCAGGATGTTTCAGTACCAACAGACCGGTCAAGGATTGAAAGCTTTTAGGGTTCAGCACGTGAGGAATCCAGCTTTGAGGACGAGCCCGGTTTGAGGGTCCAGGGCTGCATGGTGGTGGAGTCTGTGGGTTTAGGGTTTAAAGCTTCGGGTTTGGGCCTTGGAGTTCAGAGGGTACCTGTGGCCTGTCATCTTATAAATCCCCATATTTCTGGAGACAACCAGGGAGTAGCTAGGGCTTGCCAGTTGGAATCTTGATACCTGACCCAAAGCCCTACGCCCAAAGCTGCACATCACATATGGCACTTTTCAGAAATGGGCTCCAACCGTATCCAATAGACTTCTGTCCTTCTTGTAGTGATTCTCCCCAAAAGAGACACCCAATTTTGGGAAACCACCACGTGCTCTTTGCTCCTTAGCTTTCTGAGGAAATCCAGCGCCCAAGGGCCCATCCCCAAAGGTCCAGCGTAGCACCGCAAGGCCCAAATCCTTGGAATCCCAGTGGTACCCTTTTGCCCTCTTTGGGTATTGGGTTCCTTAATAGAATATACCAACAGGAACAAGGGCACCCTTATTGTAATAAGGTTACTGGGATACCAAGCATCTGTGTTATTGTGTCCTGGGAACCCGAAGACCTATCAGCAGCATGGATTCCAGTGATTGCTGCTGCGTACTACTATTGCTGGCGCTGCCGCCATCGCTACGGCTGAAAGCATAGGGTCTCCGAACAGCAGTCAAGTTTTTCCAAGCCAACGGAGAATCGAGCAGAACTTCATCTTTTTGCGCTGAAGATGGCGCTGTGCCCAGATGGTCTGCCGACTTCGTTGAAGGTGGTCATCGCTATGCGTATGACAGAGAGACGAAGGTCTTAGCCTGTTTGGGAGAGATAGGCCTTAGATGAGTCGTTGGAGGCTCGTGGATAGTTCTAAGTAGGGTCAGAAGTAGGTTGCATTTGGGCTTGAACTGGCCATGACCCTATTTAGGGTTTAGGGTTTAGGGTTTAGGGTTTCTATTTGGGACGCAAAAGATGTTTCAGGTACATGAAAGAACCCAAGGGGTCAGTAAGACAAAACCTTCGCACCCAGCCTTTGACGTGTGTATCTGGGTTGGCTCTTCCGGAGCAGTCCGCATACCTCAGCCCAAGCATGAAGTTTAGGGTTTAGGTTTTAGTGTTTTGGTGATCGTAACCCTCCAGGTCAGGACTCCATAAATAGCATAGGACTATGATAAAGTCTTGATTTTGTGGGTTGGGTTTCCAAAATACCATCGCTAAATACCATAAACCCCATACAATCCCAGCTTCCATTTCTATATCCGTTTTCTTTTCCATTGGATTCTGCACTATCGGATTGATGTAGTATCTCAAACCCAAACTTCCTGAAGCTTCTTCGGCACCTGGTTTTGATTGAGGGTTTAGGTTTTTAGGGCCTAGGGCTATTTACAGGGCTTTAGGGTAGCGGAATCAGAGTATTGCCTTGCCTAGAGGAAGGACAGGTTGAGAATACAGCTGAGCAGCGTATATACACCCAACGCGATTACATTTTCTGCGTGTTTATGTGACCCTGAGACATCGCACATTACTTTGACGTCGAAGGGCCACAGAATTCAGGAGAACTAGTTTGGATACTGCCTCCACGTTGGTGATATTGTTCCCCTAATAAGGGCCCTGTATGTGGTAGATGGTCCAAAAGTGTAGCACGGCCCCAACCAGACGTTTGATAACCAACACATGCGCGCAGCAGCACCCCGGAAATTTGAACCCTGAACCTGAGGTCAATCCCCGCTGTAGTAATAGCTTCATAATATGGAGTTAGTAAGGCCTTAATATACCTGCAATAGTCCCTTGTGGTACCCATTACTGGGTGGGGGATTGACCCAACCTGAACCCCTAAACCCTGAACCACAGTTTTTGAGCAGTAGTAGCTGAAGAGGCAGAGGCTGCAGTGGTTAAGGGGTTGAGGGTTTAGGGAGTTTGGGCTTAGGGATTTAGACTCTAGGATTTTGGGTTTGGGGATATAGGCAATGTAGAAGCCCATTATGGAGAATCAAATGGAGGATGTACTGCAAGCTGGGCTTGCATGAGCGTCGAAACTGATAACCTTTTCTACTGCAAGAGTATAGAAAACCCCATAACCCAATTCTGATTGTTGAGGCCCCTTGACGATTTTTGTGGTCCAGCTTTGCTGGCTGTAGACAATTGTGCGGGGTAGGCTGGCAGACGATTTTCAGTTTGTACCCTAAACCTGGAAACTCCTGTCGGACAAGCCTCCTAGACCTAAACATCAAACCGTAAATCCAGCACCGAGAACCCCAAAAGGCAACACCCCAAACCCAATACAACCCCAAGAACAACCCACATAAATCCAGTTGCAATTTCATATTCCATGTTGTTTTCCATTTGGTCCTCCAGCATCCTTAGATAGATATCCCCGTACACCGCACCCAAGACCCCAATCCCACTCCCAAAAAACCACAAACCCTAAACCTTAAACCCCTAAACCCTAAACCTTAAACCCTAAACCCGTAAACCTTAAACCTGAAACCCCTAAAACTGAAACCCTAAACCCCTAAACCCTAAACCATAAGCCCCTAANNCCTAAACCCTAACCCCACCCTAAACTAAGAAGCCGGAAGGCTGTTGAAATGTCGGCAGCCGCCTTGGGCGGTGCTGCCTTCTGCGCGCGTGCGCAGAGGAAGGGATCTCAGGTTCAAGGCTTAAGGGCTTTGGGTTAAGGGTTTANNGGTTTAGGGGTTTGGGGTTTTTGGTTTAAGGGCTTTGTGTTTAGGGTTTAGGGGCTTAGGGTTTAAACTCTGCACTCTAAATCATGTTTGGTTGAGAGCTTTGGACTTGAGACTGGGCCTTGGTTGAATATGATGGTTCGTTTTGATGAAGCACAAGAAGGGACACACACATAGAAGCTTAACACGGTCGCCATAGGGCACTGGTAGGATTCCAGGGTTTAGTAAGTATGGGAATAGATTGTTGGGGTTGTAAGACGGTTGACGACAGGCTTCTGTTTTAGGTTCAAGCGCAAAGTCTTTCAGGATCGGGGTCGTCGAAGCTTGATGGTGGAAATCCTTCAACATTGACCCTCTACGAAGTACTACACATCCTTGAATGTGGGTCCCTAACAGTATCTATCCTTAAAGGGGGATCTTATCTAAGGAGGTGATAGAACTCCTGGTACCTATCGTGGCAATAGCTACTGTAAGCGGGAATGACCTACAACATCGGTCTATAAGGTGATGGCAAGACTTCTCCACCCACATGAGTAGTATTTTCTTTGGGGATACTATGGTACCCAATATAGATTAAGATTCTATCCTCCTTTTGGTTATAGTATTTTATATAAGGAATATCATCTTACTGAGTTTAACCACCCCAAAAAACTACTCACATTAGGCTGGGTTTCCCAGTACACTCCCTTCCCGTGGGAGTCTTAGGCTCCTCATAGAATTAGGTCATGCTGAAAAGGGGGCGCTTTTCAATCTTAGATTACCAGAAATCCTAAGCTGGAAAGGGACCCTATAGTACCCCCACATAACTCCAATGCCCCGAAATAAATCTTAAAGCCCTTGAAAGCGGCCCTGTATCAGCATTACATGACGCCTCTCGCCCCTCGAAAGGGACTCCATATCATCCCCGTGAAGCACCTAAACTCTAAACCGAAACCCTCAACCATGAACCCTGAACCCTAAAGGGTTCCATGGAGGTCCAGCAGGGTGTAGGGATCGTTGTGTTGTATGTCAGCTCCCGCTGTTTCTGGCCTGCAGAGCATATGGGGGGTGGGTTTTTGAGAGTGCCTTTTTGGGAGCCCCAATCCAAAGGATGATAGTATAAGTCAACATGTAGTAAATTGGCTTCTATATCGGTCTATATTGGGCTCTTGTTTTTTGGAAGCTTATATGTCTCTCTTAGGTGATCACCTGCCCCACTAGTGGTGACCAGGAGGGACAACGGAAGTCATACGAGAGTCCCTCTATATTCCTATCATAGCGTGTTTAGCAGGCGGGGGCATGAAAAGATGTATTTCTGAAAGCTTCAGCACCGACGATGCAATGGCATGTGCAGCACACTACCTTGGAATTATTGTACGAGAATCAAAGCGGAGGATAAGTTTGCTGTTCAGTCTGGAGTTTTCAAAACAGGGATATTGCAATGTGAGGGTGATAAGGAGCTTGTGCAGGATCTTTCCAAGAAAAGGGTTATGACCCTTGACCCTAAACTCTAAACCCTAAGCCCTAAGCTGTAAACCCTAAGCCCTAAGCTGTAAACCCTAAGCCCTAAGCCGTAAACCCTAAGCCCTACCCCAAACTGGACCCCAAAGCCGTGCTCCTAAAAAGTTGCAACACCGATATTAAACTCTCCCAAAGTCTGTAGAGCTCAGAGCCGTACTTCAAACCGCCATTCAAACAGTAATAGTGGTAGTAATAATATGTAGTTATACTACAAATTCAGCTAATGAAAGCTAACAAGAATATCTCAATAGTACATCAGACCCCAACCTTAGAAGACGAACATTGGTTGGCTTTAGCTTGTTCCGCTTTGTTCTCAGCACCATGGCTCTCTGCCGTCATGAATCATTTCGGATAAATGGGGGACCTAATTCTCCTTAAGCCCTGAACCCTAAGCCCTCAATCCTAAACCCTAAGCCCTAAGCCCTAATCCCTAAACCCGAATCCCTAAGCCCTATTGCAGGGGACTCCAACCTCGAAAAGTCTCATGTAATAGGATAGGCTTTAATCCAATTCTCAGGCTCAGCTCCCACACCTCAACAATCCCCCAAAGGGATAACGGTGGGCCAGTGCGGCTTATTCCGGGGCGTAGAAAGGATCAGTTACCCAATGGGCAGCTGGAGATTGATTTGAAAACCTTCAACCCTGAACACCAAAACCCCTGAAACCCCCGAAACCTGACCGCCCTAAACCCTACACCCTAAGCCCTCAGCCCTAAACCCTAACTGTGTTAGGACCGGCTTTAGTCGGCTCTTCTCCCAACTAGGCTGGTCGTCTTACCAGACCTGGGATTGGGGCTAGGGTTACTTGGAATCCCAGTGGTACCCTTTTGCCCTTTTTGGGTATTGGGTTCTTTAATAGAATATACCAACAGGAACAAGGGCACCCTTATTGTAATAAGGTTACTGGGATACCAAGGTTAAGGGATGCAGGGTGCGGTCTTAGGGTAAGAGATTCAGAGCTATCATTACTATTATTATTCCTAGTATGACTACTACTAGTACTAGTACTAGTACTAGTACTACTAGTACTACTAGTACTACTAGTACTACTAGTACTACTACTACTACTACTACTACTAGTACTACTACCACCACACTTAAAGGGGAGCCCCGGGCGGGTAGTGTCTCATCA